TTGGTCTTGTCAACAAGGCGCAACTTGATTAATGAATGTTTTGCACTAAATAAATGAAAGCTAGTAGAACCGTGTCATGCTAATAATGAATTGTTATTTAGACGGAAGTCCTTCGTACAAATAGGGGTGTACAAACCAAACCGATAACCCGTACCAACCCGAAAATCCGAGTCAACCTGGAAAAAAAACCCGACTAGTTGTTTGGTTTGACTCGGTTTGGTATTGGAAAATAAAACCCGACCACAATAGGGTTGGTTTGGTATTAACTAAAAAAAGTCAAATCGAAACCAAACCAACCCGACATTACATGTATACATATTTTATATATTAGATAGATAAAAATATTTATTAGAATGTAAGTTATAATTATTTCTTAATTTTTATTATAATTTCTTTATATAGCATAATATTTTAAATTGGTATTATAGCCCATGTAAATATTTGTTTTTGTTTGGCCCATAAAAGAATAATTGAGCCCAAACCAAAACCTAATCTTAAAAGCAGATAGATTGTCCAAAAGGTGTTCTGAAATACATAAACAATTGAAATCATCTTGCCTCTTCTCCAAAGGCAAAAAACCTACGCTCGTAAAGTTCTCATCGGTAAAGCTCTTTTGCTCTCATTTTACATGTTTTCTTTTAGTTGCATACATATACCTTGCTTTTTCCCAATTAACTAAGATGTGACAAGCTAGCTTCAAGTCCAAGTGGTTACATTGGTCCTTTATCAGAAGATCAAAGTAGAAGTAATGATACAGATATAAGGGAAACAAGTGAAAAAAGATGCTTAGCTTCTCAAGAATGTTGTTCCAATACCTTTAATTCATCCTAGTTGGATTCTTTTATAACAGCCTTAATTTTACTTTAGCCCCAAATTTATGATTGGGGTGAATCTAAAAACTCATATTCTGGACCCTCCCTGCTTTATGCTTTCAATATAACACCCCCCCCCCCTATTAAAAAATGTAGAAAGATTAGACAGTGATCCTGTTATTGCCCCAGAAGTTTCGCAATCCAGCTAATTCTGAACAATCTAGCCTTCTGTTTATATTGCTTAGTCCATGACCTCTATAAATATATTGCACCTTCTTTGGCTTCACTTCAACATAAAATGACCTCTATAAATATAGTCCAGTGATCTGTCATTTGCTGTCACAATGCGAAGGTAAATTCCATGAGTTAAATAGTAACTGGATATGTTCTATTTGCAGGAACTCTTTCTAAGAATGGAAACTACAACTTCTGGAGCAGATGCTGAGGTGGTTGTCAATAATCCTTCGCCAGTGGCAGCTCAAAAACAAAGTGCAGACACTCCTCATCGACGCACTCCTCCTAAGAAGCAAAAAAGAACGACTCCATCAGAAAAATCTAAATCTGGGAATAGTGACAGAGAGACGTCCGAGATTTGGAATCACTTCTCCAAATTTACTGCTAAAGAAGGTAAATGTAGGGCAAAATTCAATTATTGTCCTAAAACATTTGTTGCAGGTAGCAAGAATGGGACTACTGCATTATGGTCGCATTTAACTTCTACATGTCACAAATCTCCCTTTAGAGCCATTGATAAGAGACAATCAACATTAAAACCTATCAAGGAAGGGTGGCTAGAAGGTGGTTCGGGTGCTACTGAAAGGGTAGTGTATAATGTGGATGACATTAGAAGGGCGATTGCCGAATTTGTAATTCTTGATGAGCAACCTTTTAGAGTTGTTGAAGGAGAAGGATTTAAGAAATTAATGGCTAAAGCCTTACCTAATTTCGAATTACCTTCTCGTGTAACTGTTGCTAGACATTGTTTGAGGATTTATCATGAAGAGAAGGAAAAAATTAAAAATCTTATTAAGAACCAACGCGTATGTCTCACTAGTGATACATGGACATCACTACAAAACTTAACTTATATGGTTGTTACTGCACATTGGATAGATGATCAATGGAATCTACAAAAGAAAATTTTGAACTTTTTTCCAACACCGGATCACAAAGGTGAGACTATTGCAAAGGGAATTGAAGCATGTTTATTTGGTTAGGGCATTGAGAACTTGTTTACATTGACTTTGGATAATGCAAGTGCTAATGATGTTGCCATTAAGCATTTGAAGTTGCGTATTGATGATTGGAAAGGGGCAATACTTGGAAATAAGTTTTTGCATGTTAGATGCAATGCTTATATTTTGAACTTGATTGTAAAAGATGGGTTAGATGAACAAATTGAGCCTATTACTCGTGTAAGAAATGCGGTAAAATATGTTAGGTCTTCTCCTTCAAGGTTTGCTTCTTTCAAGTCATTTGTTGAGAAAGCTAAGATAGATACTCATGGACTTGTAAGTCTTGATGTTGAAACAAGATGGAATTCCATATATATAATGTTAGATACAGCTCTAAAATTTGAAAAAGCCTTGACAAAAATGTATGTGGATGACCATAAGTATCAAAAGTATTGTCGAGAAATAAGCGCTTTAAGAGGAAATCCATCTGCAGACGACTGGAAGAATGTGAAAGCTTTTATCAAGTTTCTTAACATTTTCTATCAGACAACTTTAAAATTTTTAGGCAGTTTATATGCTACTTCAAACTCTTTCTTCCATGAATTTTTCAATCTTCGAAATGCTATTATAAAGCATACCAAAAGCGATGATCGTACTTTGAATGATATGGCAGGAAGAATGAAAAGTAAGCTTGAGAAATATTGGGGTAAGTTTGAGGATATGAATATGTTATTGCTTGTTGCTGTTGTGTTGGATCCTAGATACAAGATGAAGTATGTGAACTTCATTCTTACTGATGCATTTGGTTCTTTGTTGGGAAGATTGAAGTCCGAAGATGTGGTAAGCATTTTAACTCGCTTGTATAATAACTACAATGATTCTTTTTTTGAGGCTTCTAGTGACAATATTGGAGGCGATACTAGTATGAGTGAAGTTGGTGATTTGTTGCAATCAAAGTGGGAGAAACTTTTGGAAGATGAGGGAAATATTAAAAAAAAATCTGATCTTGAGATATATTTGATGGATGATGTGGTGAAAATCAAGGATTTTAATATCTTGGCATGGTGGAAAGTTTCATCTAGTAAATATCCAATTGTTTCAAAGATTGCAATGGATGTTCTTTCTATTCATATTTCTACTATTGCATCGGAGTCTGCTTTTAGTACAGGTGGTCGAATTTTAGATTCTTATAGGAGTTCTTTATCACCAAAAACAGTGGAAGCACTTATTTGTACTCAACAATGGATATGATCACCTTCCAAGGAATATAAGTTTGAAGACATGTTAGAGGAAGTCCAGAAAATTGAGCAAATTGAAGAAGGTAATAATTTATATTTAATTGTTAATGAGTATAGTTATTTTTTACATTAATTAATATTTAAATATGTTAATTGTTTCTTCTTCTTCTTTTCCAGAATATGTAGACTCACCTTTGAGGATTGATTAGAGGGATGATTAACTACAATTTGCTTCATGACTATTTTTGGAAGTGAGGTCATTATGCCTTTACAAGTATTTTGGAAACATGCTCCTCTGGTTGTAATATCTACTAAGATGCCCAACTTCTTAGAGTTTAATATATTCTCTTTTTGTTTATCTTTTAGGACTTTTGGGTGTAATGTCTACTCTTAAAAAGTTGGTGATAATTCTTATGTAGAGTGCAATATGATATGCAGTTTATATTTTTGGTGATAATTTTCTCATTCTGCCTACTTCCTAATGGCCAGATATTGTTTAAATCTAATTCAATTTTTCTCTTGACTTAGTAGAACTGATATGGAAATGTATGGAGTTGTAGCCTTCAGGAATAGTTCATTGGCTTGTTAATGTTTTATTAGAACACAGTGTGTTGACATATCAAGATCCAATACCTGATATATAGTATTTTTCTAATATTTACTGGAAAAAGACATCTGCATTGTGTAAGGAGTAATTTTTCCTTAACACCTATTGTCATTCATTATTTGGTTAACACAATAGCCACCATAGTTGTCATTCAAGTAGACTTGTTGTACTTAAGCAACATGTTACAACATGCTCATTCAAGAAAATGCCCCGTATAAGATTGATCCTGACCCCACAAGGTGTTATTGTCATGATCCTTCTTTGGTGTATAATTTTAGACTTTTATATTTGCATGGTCCTCCTGTTCTTTTTTGTACTCCAAGATAGCTGCAGGAATTTATTAGAATTTTATGATGGCAGCTATATATAGTTTGGAGCACAAGTTTATCGGAACGAAAAACCTGAAAAACCCGAGAAAACCTGATATTGAAAAACCCGACTTTTGTTGGTTTGGTTTGATCTATAGATTTAAAAACCCGATATAATTGGTTTGGTTTGGTAATTGCAAAATCCGAACCAACCCGACTTATGTACACCCCTACGTACAAAGGCTCTATTTCTTGATGCAAGGCAAATTTATTGTAAATCATTCTTTGCCATTTACTGTAAAAACTTCAGGGCTTCCTCCTCGAAACCGAGTTCAATTGCTTATTATACCTAGAGCTTTCAAAATCCTTACACAATGCATAAGCTATAAAGTACATTGAGTCCAATATGAAGAAAAAAATGAATGTTTAAGAAAATCATGTTTGGTAAAACTTCTTTTAAATTTTTTACTTGCTCAATTTATGATACTTTATGTGATAATGCTGGTGTGCAAGGCGAGCTCAAACCAAAGGCTGCTAAAGTAATTCATCTGCAAGTCCACATACCTTATTGTATAATTAGCCTCTTGTATAGACATTTATACAAAGATCAACATACTAATATCGGGTATGCAAATGCAAAATGGGCTGGATCTCCACTCTGTCATTTAATTAATATGTTTTGGTTTCTTTGATTTGTGGAAACCTAATCTCTGCAAAAGACAGACACAGATTAAAAATTTGGTTGCCATATTGTAAAAGTTAGGGAAGCAATTACTTGAGGAATTAAAGTTCAAAGAGGTAATGCAGATAAAAATGTTTTGTGAAATAAAAGTTATCATGGAAACATGTTAAAACCCAAATTATTATCCAGAGCAAGAACAAAATAATAAAAGTTGGGAGGATTTCATTAAGCAGTACTAAATAACCAAAATCTTTGATCTAAAAGATCAAATAGTAAACGATACACTAACTTAACTCATCATCTCTGAACATTAAAAGCTACCAAAAGCCACATCCAGCAATAACCAGAGAAGACCAGACCCAGATATCACAGATTGCTTCCCAATGATCTTAAGCAGTAATAGATGGCTTAGAAGCTGCAGACAGTCTAGACCTCTTCTTAGCCAGACTCTCACTGCGCCTTTCTCTTTGCTCCTTCAACCTAGTAGCTAAAAGCTTCTGGTACTCAGCTGCTTCTGACTTAGCCTTGGCAATTCTCTTCTTCTTGTCTGCAATTCTTGCTCTCTTCCTCTGGAGAGTCAATGGTGTTACCAGCCTCTGGATCTTAGGAGCCTTGCTAGCCTTTTTCCCTGTCACCATAAAGCACCATAATTAACATTTAGGAGCGGCAAACAGGCAGGTCGGGTCGGATATGGTTTGGGACCGGATAAATTATCCGACCCGACCCATATTTAACACGGATAAAAAAACGGGTTAACCGGTGGATAATATCCATGACTTCTTGCATATGAACTTTTGGAAGAGTTCTTAGTCTCCCTAACTCGAGGAACTACCAATTTGAGGCTTTACAAATGTAAAAGTTAGACTCATTGATTATCCATTGGTTACCCATTGGTTATCCATTTTCTAAATGGATAATACGATTCTTATCCATATTTGACCCGTTTTTAAAAAGTTCATTATCCAACTCGTTTTTTAGTGGATAATATGGGTGGTTAGCTATTTTCTTTTAACCAATTTGCCATAACATTCAAAGCAAAGGTTGAAGAGCATATTAACTTCCAACATTGACCAACTCTGATCAGCATAAGAAAAATTCAAGTATATTTATCAGTAGAAAACTAACCAGTTTTGGTCGTGAAATTCCGACGGTAGGTATTGACATACTTCCTGACATCATCTTCCTTGGAAAGGTTGAAGAGCTTCCTAATCTTGGAAGCCCTTTTGGGTCCTCTCATCCTTGGTTTCTCAGTGTCTGTCAGTCCAGGCAGATCATTCTCACCCTTTTTCACAATAACTAAATTCAGAACAGAAAGATCAGGACTAACAATGCATCCACGGACAGACTTCCTTCTGCGCTCCCCATTTCGCCTACCATAGCCCCGGAAACAAGGAGTACCTGTTTAATTGAACATAATTTGACACTTACAACATCAGCTACACACAACAAATATATACAATACACATGCGCCATTAAGCACCTTCTTGCAGCTTTACACATACCTCTGTACAGCAGCAGACGAACTCGGCCTGGAGTCAACACTCCCTGCTTCATTGGGAAACCTTGCTTGTCACATCCTCCCATAATCTTAAAAACATATCCCTTGAACTCCTGTCAATTGTTACACATAACATTGTTAAAAGAAAGTTGACTAGATGGAACGGTTACAACATGAAACCACAAGTAAACAGAAACCTACGTCTCCCAAAGCATCTCCAGCAACCTCCTGGGAGATCCTTTTGTCAAAGAAAGCCCGGCTGCATAGCAAGAATCAAGCATCATTAATCAACAGTACTTACACATGCACTCTTACATGTCACTTAACAATAATGAAATATTAGGACCTCCACGTAAATCAACCAGCATATATACATCACCATGCAACATTCAAAAGCATCATATAATCAAGTAAAGTATTTACCACATTAAATGTTATCTTACTTTCATCAATAAAAAGATAAGCGTCGAAAATTTTCCCACTACAACATTGTATGCACATATAAAGACCTTCGTGGAATTACTAGATATCTAATGACGGGCCTATGAAGGGAAACTTATGAAACAATTAACCAAACACCAGCTTTCAAACATAAAGCATTAGTTTCTAGCAATGGTCGTAATTCCAAACAGATGCAAAGATAGAAGATAGCAGTAAGGGATTGTTTGTTCCACGGACAAGTAACTGGATTAAAACAAAATGAATAATAATTACTTCATTGTTTAAATTCCTATTGAATATTTGGTTATGCGTATCAACTCGAGATACCTGGACATGTTCAGCTTTAAATTGGACATATATTTGTTACCAAAAATTACTCTAGTGCCCTTAAATTAATTTATCCAATTTTATTAGTTCGATTATCATATGTGATTATAACAATTGTCGTAAAAATAATTAATTTCCCAATTTTAATCATCTCAGATAGAAAATACATTAAAAGGAACAAATCCTATAAATATGAAATCTCATTTTCACCTCTCATAGTTCTTAGGAATCAATACCATAAATTTTATTAGAAACAACTGAGAGATAGCAAGCAAATAAGTAAAAATGTAGAAGACATTCAACCAAATAACCACTATGAGGTAAGAGATCAAACTGCATTCGGCATGTAATCTTTTTCATAGGCGGTAACCTAAACAAATAAACTCTTAACTCCAGAGCCCCAAATTATTCACCTTACCGCACAGTTTGATAATTGTAGACTTTTCATTAATAGCCGAAAACAATTTGAGTTTAATTATTCACATGTATAAAACCAAAGTATGTTAAAGTGAGCAAGCAAAGAAAATCTGACAACAGCAAAGACTACTACGCCTCAGTCTCAGACAATTTAGGGTCGGTTATATGAATTCTCACCGACCACACTACTCCATTTAAACTAATCTCGTGACATATAATGCAAATACAAAATAAAAAGTAACAAGTTCTGTAGAATTTCTAAACGTATAAATATAACTTACAGTTTCTGGTCATCGTCGATCTCGAGCTTCTTCTGGCATCCAGTAGTCGGATTTGCAATGTTGAACTGCAAAACAAAAGAACAAATCAATTCATGTTGAACGAAATGAATAATGTAATACATAAATTATAGGCTTGTTCAGCTACCTTCATTTTCGGTCGAACTCAGTGGAAGCCGCCAAGCTGACAATGAAACTCTCAAATTTTACGCTGAGCTCCTCTCTCTCTTTCTCTCTTGGTTAGGGTTTAGGAGAAGATATATTTTATATCCAGGCTTTTACTAGGTCAGCTACTAATGGGCCTTGGGTCCATTGTAATTTGTACAGAACTTAAAAGGGATTGGGCTTTTCTGTAAGCATAAGCCTTATTCATATATACTTTCAAGAAGGCCGAATATAATGAGGACAATCTGTTTCAAGAATATAGAAAGTGAAAATTTTCACTCGTATTTTAAATTTGTTTTCTAAAAGGTCTTGTGTACTTAGGTCTTTTATTCTGCCCAAGTTAGAAAGGAAAAATCCGCAATAAGTTATAAGCATTTGAATAATTGAAAGCAAGATTATGAGGATATGCGATTGCAACTTATAGCACGTCGTAGCGTTAGTCGAGGGCTGAAGGAATTGAGCTAAGATCTAGGATTGTGCAACGCGAACTAGGTCTCTGCATGGATGCACAATCAAAGGATTGAAGGAACGAAAGTAAAGAAAAATATGGAAATAAGAAGAACTAAACTGCAAAAAAGATATATACTCTCATTCATGATCTTCCCAATTGAAGGGTACACAAATAATATACTGAAAAGTCGAAGAGGACAAAAATGAAAATAAATGAACTAATAACAAAAAGATAGAAGGACTAGCTAGCAAAGTGATAAGTGAGAATTTATATCACTTGATGCTACAACAACAACAACAACAACAACAACAACAACCTACTGAGATCCCACATGTGGGGTCTGGGAGAGTAGTGTGTACGCAGATCTTACCCCTACTTCGAAGGAGTAAAGATGTAGTTTCCGGTAGACCCTCGGCACAAGAAGGAAAGAGACAATGTATTAGTAGCAGCAAAGGAATCCTAACAGATAACACCAACAACGCAATAACCAGAAAATATAGAGCAAAGTATTAACACTAAGCATCAACAAAGGCACAATACTACATACGCAAGGGAATAATATGTACATACAGGGTCGCTAAACATACTATAGCCTAACTTTCGACCCTAAAGAAGTATTAAGAAAACAACTAGAGCCCCTAGCAGCCTAAAACAAGACACTATCAAACTAGCCTTCTGTTTCCTAACCTACAACACTAATGCTCGACCTCCACAACTTCCTATCAAAGACCATATCCTCGGAAATCTGCATCCGCACCATGTCCCGCCTGATCACCTCTCCCAAATATTTCTTAGGTCGCCTTCTACCTCTCCGCATACCCGTCAAGGCCAGTCGTTCACACCTCCTTACCGGTGCATCCAGGCTTCTCCTCTTCATGTGCCCGAACCATCTAAGTCTAGCTTCCCGCATCTTGTCTTCCATGGGAACCACACCCACCTTCACCCGAATATCGTCATTCCTAATCTTATTTAGCTTAGTGTGTCCGCACATCCATTTCAATATTCTCATCTCTGCAACTTTCATCTTTTGGATATGAGAATTCTTCACTGGCCAGCACTCTGCACCATAAAACATGGCCGGCCTAACCACCGTTCTATAGAACTTTCCTTTAAGTTTCGGAGGCACCTTCTTGTCACACAGAATACCAGAAGCTAGCCTCCATTTCATCCACCCCACTCCTACACGGTGTGTGACATCCTCGTCAATATCCCCATCCCCCTATATAATCGACCCCAGGTACTTGAAGCTCCCTTTCTTGGGGATGACTTGTGAGTCAAGCCTCATGTCCACGTCCGCTTCACCCGGGACGCTACTGAAATTGAACTCCGCATATTCAGTCTTAGTCTTGCTCAGCTTGAAACCTTTAGAATCAAGGGTCCGTCTCCAAACCTCCAACCTCTCGTTAACATCGTCTCGCGTCTCATCAATCAATACTATATCATCAGCGAATAACATACACCATGGCACCTCCCCTTGGATATGGTGTATCAGTGCGTCCATCGTTAAGGCAAATAAGAACGGGCTGATCGCAGATCCTTGGTGTAGCCCCATAACAACCGAAAAATGCTCCAAGTTGCCCCCACTGTCCTAACCTGAGTCTTAGCTCCACCATACATATCCTTAATAACCCTAATATAAACCACCGGAACACCTTTCACCTCCAGACATCTCCAAAGAACTTCCCTAGGTACCTTATCATAAACTTTCTCTAGGTCAATAAACACCATGTGCAAATCCCTCCTCCTATCCCTGTATAGTTCCACCAACCTTCGAATAAGATGGATCATTTCCATAGTGGAACGACCAGGCATGAACCCAAATTGATTCTCGGATATCGACACCAGCCTCATCACCCTCATTTCAACTACCCTCTCCCACACTTTCATGGTATGACTCAATATCTTAATGCCCCTATAGTTGTTACAGTTCTGGATATCGCCTTTGTTCTTGTATAGCGGAATCATCGTACTCCACCTCCATTCCTCTGGCATCTCATTCGTCTTGAAAATAACATTAAACAGCCCAGTTAGCCACTCCAATCCTGCTCTACCCACATACTTTCAAAATTCTACTAGAATTTCATCTGGCCTTGTCGCTCTGGCCCTGCTCATCTTACGCATAGCCCTGACAACCTCGTCGACTCTAATGCTCCTACAGTAGCTAAAATCTCAGTGACACTCAGAGTGCTCCAATTCCCTTAGCACAATGTCTCTCTCCCCTTCATCATTTAGCAGCTTCTGGAAGTACGTCTGCCACCTCCGCTTAATTTGCAAGTCCTCTATTAACACTTGGCCTTCCTCGTCCTTGATGCACCTCACTTGGTCTAGATCCCGAGTCGTCTTCTCCCTCGCATTGGCCAACCGGAACAACTTCTTATCTCCGCCTTTCCCCCCCTAATTCTTTGTATATGCGACCAAATGCTGCACTCTTCGCTTCCGTGACCGCTAACTTCGCCACCTTCTTAGCTTCCTTATAACTTACTCTATTCATCTACCTCTCCTCCTCGTCCGTACTCTCCACTAACTGTTGATACGCTGCTTTCTTTTCCTCCACCTTACCTTGGACCTTGGCGTTCCACCACCAGTCACCATTGTGCCCGCCCGAGTAACCCTTCGAGACCCCTAGTACCTCTTCTGCTGCCTTCCTAATACTGTTCGCTGTCATCGTCCATATACCGCTAGCTTCCCCACTACTTCTCCAGGCCCCCATAGCCAATAGCCTCCTCCCCAGCTCGTGAGCTTTCTCCTTCGTCAAGGCATCCCACCTAATCCTCGGACTACCCCGAACCACCCTCCTCTTCCTCCTTATCGGGATGCTGACATCCACCACTAAAAACCGATGTTGGGTCGCGAGTGACTCACTCGGGATAACCTTGTAATCCTTGCACAACCCTCTATCAAACTTCCTTAGGAGGAAATAATCAATCTGAGTCTTAGCCACCGTACTCTGAAAAGTAACCAAATTCTCCTCTCTCTTCGGGAATATAGAGTTCACAATCACCAACTCAAAAGCCTTAGGGAAATCCAATAGAGAAGTTCCACCTCCGTTCCTAACCCCAAAGACACAACCGCCATGCACCTCGCCATAACTACTGGCAGATGCACCAATATGCCCATTGAAATCCCCTCCTATAAATAACTTCTCCGTGGGCGGAATACCACGCACCACTTCATCCAAACCCTCCAAAAAACACCTTTTAACCTCTTCCTCCAAACCCGCTTGGGGCGTAGACATTTAGAGTGAGCCCTCCAACCATTAACTTAATAAACATTAATCTATCACTCACCCGCCTAACCTCAACCACCAACTCCCTAAGATCCCTATCCACCAGAATACTCACTTTGTTCTTACCCTTCGAGCATCCAGAGTACCATAGTTTAAACCCATCTACATTCCTCGCCTTCGATCCTACCCACTTAGTCTCCTAAACACATGTTATATTAACATTCCTCTTCTAGAGAATCTTTGCCAACTCGATNGCCCCTCCTGAGGACATGGCCTTATTCTACCATCATAGACCACAGCCAGAACAAGCAACGACCAAACGCAAAGGAAATAGGGAGTACTATAGGTTCGCTAAAAAAAGTGCCTAGACTAGTATCAATTAATAAGCCAACAACAAGCTACCACAAAATGAAGGGAAACAAGAGATCAGGAGGTACCACCTCCCGAGAATAGAACCTAGATCAATGTACCGCGCTCACTTCCAAATTCCCGCCGTCCCTTACTAATGCCAATCGGAGGTGACTCGTGCTGCTTGTCCAAACACCGCGACTTTCCACCTGAAATTTAGAAAAGAAACACGAAGACCAAACGGGGAGGGGGGCTGTTGTCACCACTGCACTTGGTGACCCACTATCTAACAGCCTTGGTTGCCCGCTTTCACGACGCCGGAGCAGGCACCAGTGAAGTCAGCCGCTGACCAGCCCTAAAGATGCCGCAAGAAAAAGAAATAAAAAGGGGGATCTAGGGTTTGTAGATGAGAGAAGAAGGAGAGAGAGAGGGAGAGTGAAGCTGCCAGCAGTAGTAAAAAAAAATTTCGGCAGAGCAGCAGTTACCTGGTGGCCACTATTAGGGTTGAGGGTGGGAAGGAGGGAAGACAGAGGAGAGAGAGGAGCGGTAGAAGAGGGAGATGGAAGGGGAGAGATGACCGAAAACTTACCTGGTGGGTTGGGTGTTTGCCGGCGTCGGCGTTGTACAATGTCCGGTCAGAAGATGACCGTTAGGTTACAAAGAGAGAGAAGTCGGGGGGGGGGGGGAGAGTAAGTATATATTTACATAAAAGTTTTTTTTAAGGATCAATGGAATATCCAATAGTTTTGCATCCAAAAGTTGCTATTAAATACCAAAGTTCTAACGAAAAAAATTTAATTACAGGTTTAGTGGAGCAGCAAAAAGGGAAAAAAGATTTGAAAGAACAAGCCAAGGGAAAAAGAGCACAGTGTTGTCCAAAAATAATTTGTGTGGACCACAATCCTGACTTTGCTATCGCAACCCTAGCTCCTGAAACCTAAGAGAAACAGCAACTGCAGAACCTATATTGCGAACCGCAATGAAAAAGTGTGATCGCACTTTAGTCTACAAATCCATCTGCCTGCTAAAAGTTTAGACAATCTGAGACATGATATTTTGCCAAGTTTTGAATGCTCAAATTTGCGGCCGCAATCATCCAATTGCAGACTGCAACAGACAAGCGCGACCGCAATACCTTTAGTGTGACTGCATCACTAAAGACCAACAAATCACGCCATCAACTACAGGAAATGCAGACCACAATCATACTTGTGCGGCCGCAATCCTACCAAAGGGCATTTTTGAAATAAATTTTGAGACGATATAAATAGCTATTTTTAGCAATTTTTAGGCATCTTTTTTACTGTAGCAGCTTTGGAATTGTTAGTTGTAGCTATTTGGAGCAAGTTTAAGCTACAATTTGGAAAATATCACTTTATCTTTATTTTATTTTAGTATTATGTCTTTGACTTAATCTTGTATTATGCTTTTGTTCCTTTTGCTATTAGTAGCTAGATTTTTCTCTAGGGTTGTAATCCAAGCCTAATGTGTGAATTTGATGGGTTATTAATATAATACTTGTTTAAGATTTGGTTGATTGTTTTTTATCCAATTTCATGCTTCAATCTTAAATCATTGGTTGCACATTTATTCACGACCTTTTGACTTTGTTCTTACTTGAGAAAGATGAATTAAGTTTAGGAAAACCTGGCTAACAAGAAATTGGATTAGTTAAGATTAAGGATTTAATTAGTCTAATTAAGCGATTTGGACTAGAGATAGTGATAATCTCACTTGGGCTCATAATCAATTGATCTTATTCTCTCCCATTTTAGATTTGAGAAAGCTATTTTGGGCATAGTCACTCAATGATCAAGAGAAATTTAGTGAGTACCTTAGGATTGAGAGTCATTAGAACCCCAATCAACTAAGCAAACATATTAGATTTCACCCATTAGGTTACACCTAGGTTAGGACTACAACTCTATGTTTTTCTCATTTGAGTCACAACATTAGTTTAAATATAGGATATTAAGTGTTTGATAAATTGTCTCTTAGATAATTCTTAGTATAATTAATAGTGTTACTAAACCAAGTTGTGTTGAAAGTTAATGATGAGCGCAAAACCGGTGTATGAAACTGGTCTCGCTAGTCAAAAATAGTATAGTATTAAATCGTCTCCACATGGATTGGGTTAAATGATACTCAAAGAAATCTTTAGCTTAACACTATTCAGAAAAAAAAATCTTTGATTTTGAGTTATTAACTAACTAAGAGTAAAAGCTAAGATTCTCAATTGTGAATGAATAACGAAAATTTAGTAACTAAGTAGAAATGAGTGAATATCAAGATGAGAAACAAGGGCTTTGACAGGATATGTGATCAACTATTACTATGGGCAACTCTGTGTTATGTTCACTCTTAACTTCTATTGACTCTCTCAATTTCAATAGATGATTAGGCTATCTTAAGGATTCAATTCTTCTTCCGAATGAATTAGAGTTTGCTAAACAACCTAATGATATGTGCTGTGAAAATATGCAAAAATATGTTGAATGAATGATCTTATGAAGAACACCTCTCGATTACTCTTCTAACATTGGTCTATTGATAACTCTATAAGCTCTTTCGATTACCTATGAGAGTCGTGAAATCAACTTAACAAGATAACACAATGAGAATTGCAGCAACACTTCTCTTTTAATTAAAGTAAAATCATAATTAACCTTGCAATTCAATTAGTAACTCATTCAACGATTCAGGCAACTAACATAAAGCAAATCGAGAACAATAGTCAAATCACAATATTCGTCAATAACTCTAAGAAGGATTACTCCATAGTGGAGAAGTTGTTCATCACAAGAGTATTAAGAGAACAAAAAAATATTACAATCCCCAAAATCAAACAAACTTGCGTATTGAATGAATTGGATGAAGTATTCAGAGTCTATGTTGTTTCCTTGCCTCCTTCCCTCCAAAAGTTGCTCCAAAATCCGTAATACCTTGTCTTGGGATGAGCTAGGCTTCATATAGGTCAAAAGTCTACCTCCAAAATTACAAAATATATGCTTGGGTCGAATTCCCGGAGACGGACGTGCATGGCCGCGCACCCGGAAGTATGACCGCGCACCTCTGCCAGACTTCTATAGCACTTGCGCGCTCAAGTGCGCGTTGGGGGTCGCTCGTGAGGCCGCGCACGAGAATTTCTTCTTGCTCAACTTATTTTCCTCCCGCTTAGTTCACTATTAGTCCATTGATCCCCTCTGTGTTACCTGCACTGAAAGACAACATATTAGACCCAAGTTGGACCAAATCTCTATCGAATCAATCAAAGATGCAAAATGGG